CTAAATCTCCTAGCATGCTTTAGATAAAGTTGAGATACATAAGTAAATGTTGTCATAAAAACGATAATTTTAGTGAATTAAGTTCATTTTTCGTGTGTTTCGACCAATACTTCATAAAGCTGTCTAAATCTCTTTTAACTTATTTTATTCCCCTTCCGTTTTTTACCCTTTCTATCTTTATCTCCTATCAGCAGGTCACTTGATCTTGCTTTTTATTCAGCCCTATCAAGTCTTGTTAAGCTGCTTAACTCATCTTTTGTCTCCATCAATTCTCAATCCAACGTGGAGCCTCCTCTTGCGTTTGCCGCTTGGGCTCCTTCATTAAGCTCTCTATCATGCCTCAAAATCGCTATAAACTCATCTAAATTGCTGAGCACCGTCAAAGGGACACACTTTCCTTTACAATTGATGCGCGTACACCTCTCTGCGGAACGCTTGTATCAGCTAGTCACTGCCCACTTGCCTACTCCACTCGAGCTTTATTCCCCTTTTGCTTGGCTATTCAGCCTTGATCAACCTACAATCAGTTGCTTTGCAGGAAGTCGAGAGCTGGATGGCCTATTTTATGACTTGCTTCTCGGACATCTGTATACCTGGCCCGATGAGATCCCTGCTTCGCATACCGAATTGTTTGAGTTCTCCCTACCGGAAACCCTGAAAATGATTCAACTTGCCAACTTCCAGTCTATTTTCAGAGTCTTAGAGCCCATAGCCTCATCACATCCTAGTTTTATTTCAGGTTCCTTCCATTCGGGGGCTAATCTTTTTATCAACTTTCTCGATCGAGTGATATCAGGTCAACTAAATCTATTGGCAAGCACTCGACTGATTCGTCTTCTCTGGCGGTTACTGCCGAGCTTAGACAATTGTCCTCCCATCAATTACTCGTCCATTGGGATTAAGCATATAGACTTGTTAATTCGAATCCTGGTTAGGCGTCTAAGTGTACCACATGTTAAAATTTACGGACTTATGGACGGACTCTTCTCTCAGATCTCTAAACAGCTGCTTGCAGATCTCTCAGCTATAGAAGCATCAGGTAGGCCGACTATTAGTTAATAAATTTGCTATTTTATTTTACCTATTTTTCCGTCTCCTATGCATTTGGTTACTATGCTTTTTGTGTATTTATAGTAGTTATAAGTTGTTTTTTTGTTGTTAAATTATCCTAATCATTTTTGGGAGATAATGGTAGATATTATCCTGACAAGCTCATTAGGCCTGACAACATAACTTCAAATATGCTCTTCCTTACAATCTTTTTCAAAAGATTGCAACTTTTCAGCTTTAATTCCATACTTTATTATGTATTTTGTCCCTCACACTATTCTCTTTTTAGTAGATCACGAAGCCTCTTACTATTCCCACCTTCTAAGTAGGATGGTTGAGCGAATTTGTGTTCTTGGACCTGGGCTACCCATCCCAGGTCTGACAAACTTGGTCGACGCTCTTTTTGCGTTGGTGATAGAACCAGTCATCTCTCATGTTATTGAGCTATTTCCATCATACAGGACTTCATACTCCTTGATCCATAAGAACAAATTGCATTTACGGTCCACAAAACCGTTGGATAAGCCGTACTGCTCTATACAAAGAGTGTCTTCTGCCCACTTGCCACCAATCATTCGGCCAGCAACCTGGGATATGATTTTGCAGCTGATTGCTTCACCCTGTCTTCAATTGATACCCTTTGCTAGTCGGTCAGGCCTTTGGTGTAACCGCTTGTTTGATCTACTTCCTTCATCCTTCCTGCCTCCCACCACCAATGCCACTGCACCTGCAACAAATGCATTAGCTCCTGTTGATCTGTGTCTATTCTATCATCTACCGTTTCTGACGAATCAGTTAGCACAACAAGTGGAAATGCTTCCCACCCACGGAATTGAGGCTATTTGTCTCCTGGCCAGGTAACTTAATTATCCATTTCTTGGGTTCAGCTAGCGCTTGCTTTATGACGATAGTTTTTAGTTATGCGGTGAAATTTAATGAAAGTATAATTTTGTTTATTGGCAATTATTTCCCCACAAAACTTTAAATACACCTATTTTTTAACAGATTATTTCCTTTTTGGGCCAGCAACTATCCACGTGGCCTGAATTAAATAGGTCTCTGATTAGGCACTAGTATTTTTTACTCGATACTGAAGTATTCATCTGGTATACAAACAGAACAGTTGGATTTTTTCCTTATTTTTAGCCACAATCGAGCTTTCTTGAATCCATGCTCAGATCATTTATCTTTTGGACTTTACCGTTACCTTCGCGATTGTAATTTTAACATTTTTATACTTTGTAGTACCTTTTATTTTTCTTATAAAATTATTTTCCATATTATTATAATATTGCTTGTTCTTTTAATTATTGCCAGTAAACTTCTAAACCTATTGATGGCTTCTGACTGGGCTGATGCCTCTCCCACTATTCTGCCTGATTCTCTTCTTTCTCCGCTGGAGCTAGAATTGCCTACTCCATATTCTCGTCTGATATCTCCAGTTTCAGCAACTTCTTGTCGTCTAGATGGTTTGATAGATCTTTTTTTTCTGTCAATCATCCATCTTCTATCATCAAGGGAGTCAAAACGTGATCTCGATCGAGAAAATCTAGAGGTACATACACAATATTTACTGTTTTATCTATATTGGAATGTATTTTACCTTCCTATAAACTACTTGATTGATGTGTAGGCTTTCATTTCACATAAAAGTGCACGATGAAGTGATTCTTATGACGATTTCACCTGAAGACTACTACTGATTCCCGTTATTCTGTACCATTTTGGCTTTGCCAAGACATTTAAGTTGATGTGGTCAATGAGGTATCCCTCGTTTTTTGGAGCAATCTAATCTGATCTTTCATCTGTCATATGAAGAAGATCGTCAGAGCTGGCACTCATTCTTGCCCGGGCTTCAAGTTGACACTACGATTAGTTTGCGTATTTTGTCCTATTTATTGAAACTTGTTTTCTTCCTTGAGGTGACTGATTTCGCATGAAAGTGAATGTTGAAGTGATTCGTTGGTTCATCTCACCGGAAGCCAACGGCCGATTTGCGTTTTGATGCATTCGTTTAGTTTTAATACGACGTGCATGTTGATGCAGTCCACGAGCCTTAGAACATGATATGATGGATGTCATCGGAGCTGGAACTCATTCTTGTAAAATCCCAGGTTAACAGTAGGTAAAGAGTTGTGATTATGTATTTGTGTTAAAAATCCCTCGGAGTTTCGTTCTGCCATCCAAATAAATCCTTTCTAAGATTCGATTCGTCATGTGACAAACATTATCATAACGTAAAGCCAAATACCACCGAATACTAAGACACTAAACATTTTACTAATTTAATGCTCGGTCAAATTGTATGATTTTTAATACTTACAATCACTTTTTTCCTCTAACCATTATTTCACTAAATGCTCAAGTTTATTGTTGAATATGCTTCCATTTTTTTATACATCGGTGCTTAAGATGTATGGTATCTAAAGTGGCTCCAATTATATACCTTCA